TATGAAGGAGCATGTAGCTCACTCCATGTGACAGCTCTGTCTTGAGAAGTGTATATAGACCTGTGTAAACTATGACTGTTCGGCCACCAGAATCAGAAGGAAGGTATTGTAACTATATGCATCTTTGGAGGTCTGCATTGAAGTGAATGTCTTGCTTTGCCCTGCATGGTCAAAGCACAGGTTCACTTTAAAGGCTCAGATGTTCAGATGGGTGCTGATTGCAGAAGAACATCCAATGGCCATGTTTTTAAAGGAGAACTATGGGGTCAGGGCTTTTCCCCATAGTTCTCCTTAGAGAACGGAAGGACACAATCTAGCGTCCTCCCGTCACCCTAAGCTCAGTATACAGCTCGCGGTATACTGAGACGCCGCAGCCGGAGCAGATCCCGACATCGATGTCGAGATCCGCCCAGCTGCGTGAGTGACAGCTTGCTCTGCCTATCTAGAGGCGGAGCCAGCTGTACCCGCCCCACTCCCCCGTCCGTTCCGCCAGTCAGCGCTGGTAGATCAGAGCGGGGAGTGGGGAATCCAGCCTCTCCCCTGTCACGGCAGAGAGTCGTGACAGGATAGAGAAGTGATCGAACACCGGTATGTGTTCGCTCACTTCCCGATCTACTGAGCCGACCTGTGACAGTCTCATTGTCACAGGTCGGCTAGAACTAAGAGGTGAGAGAAAAGCACTCACCTCATAGTTCTCCTTTAAGGCAGTGTTAGAGCTGTGATATGGTTATTGTTGGTGTAGAACAGGTGTACTCAGTGAATGAATCAGTCACATCATTTGGAGACTGGTTATAATGGACCTTGCATGAACCCCCCTGAGACACTTTGTCCTACATAGACATGGTGACATCTGTAACAAAGGGTATTGAAAACAGCAGTGGAAGTAAAAAAAATTAAAATCTACCTATCCCAGGACCTTACTTTCTGAATTACATAGAAGACGAAGGCTCTTTGTGCATGTCTTTTAGAGGACTTAGCATGACACGGACCACAACAGTACCATTATCATCAAGTTTGTATCTCCACAGACAAGTATATTGTCTACTATAAAACTGACATGAAAGTGCAAAGGTGTTGCTGAATTCTAGGGGTCCATTTATAAAAAAAAATTGGCAGAGTTGTTCACCCTGTGAATCTCTGTGAACATTCGTTCTGTGCGAAAAGTGGCAAAAACGAATGTTCTTCGTATATTTTCTATTTAGGTCGAATGTAATGTCGTACCACATTATGGCCACTAGATGCAGCTGAGCAGCATAGGAATTCCTATTTATTTCCTATGTTCCTCCGCTTCATCTAATGGTCATAATGCTGTATTGCATTACATTAGGTTCGACCTGACAAGTAAATATACTAAAGAACTCTTGTTTTTGTCTCTTTTTGCCCATGTTCCCAGAGATTCACGTAGCAAATGGCTCTGCAAATTGTTTATAAAAAGACCCTTACGTAATTGCAGATCCAAATTTTTTTTGGTTTCTATAGAATGGAGAATGGTTAGGGCCCCTGGGATAGTTTTTTTTTTTAATGTTTATTGTCAGTGTCCAGGAGATTTCGCTTTATTTCCTGTATCAGCGACACAACAGGAAGTGAAAGAAAATATTTTAAATAAGGGAAAATCACCTCTTAGACAGTTATCACTGGAACAGGTGTACCTGTTGGAATATTTTACCATCACCTCTTATTCATGTGACTATAATTTTGGATTTATCATCGCTCTTGATACTGTAGACCAGACCTGGGCATTTTACAGCCTGGGGGCCACATCTAGTCCTTTGGCTGTCCCTGTGCATTACAGGAGGACGGAAGAGTATCTTCTTCTGTATTGTCTGGCAGCCTGCTCCACCACCCGGCTCCCACCTCTGGCCTACTGATAGTGTAGGAAAATAAGGTATGTGGGGACAACAATATAAAGGGGCACCCTAAAGAGGACTAACAATGTAAGGGGGCACTGTAATGGGGACAACTAATTATTAGTTGTCCTCTTTGGAGTCCCCCTTACATTAGTTGCCCCCATCAGAGTGCCCTCTTATATTAATTACAAATGTGGGGGGCACGCTGATAGGAACAACTAATGTAAGGGGGCCCTCTGATAGGCATAACTAATTGTTAGATGCATCCAGTGGAGTGCCCCCTACATTAGTTGCCCCCTGTCCGATTTTTTTATCAATTTTCTTTTGCGCATGTGTGCCTACGCATCTTCACCGTATTGTGTTGGCCATTCACAACAGTCCCAGTTTCTCACGTGGCCCTGTGAGAAAACAAAATTGCCCACCCCTGCTGTAGATAGTGGTCAGCAGGACAGACAGAGAGGGTAAATCTTTCTAGAAAATACAGTATACACCTGACAGGGGTTTTTAACACTTCTATACACATTGGCTTTACATACAATACACATTTTAATGCAACAGGCCAGGTTCAGACCTAGGCGATTTATCGTGCAGATTGAGTCACGCAATATCGCGCAAAACACAGATTCGCTTTGAAGTCAATAGAGGCTGTTCACACCTTTGTGGTTTGTCACGTGGAAGAAATCATCTGTCGAGCAAAAAGGTGCAAGAGCTATTTTCGGGCAGTTGTCGCGCGGTTTGGGTCCCTTAGAGTAGACATCTCTATGCATTGAAAAACGTGCGACAACCGCACGGTTTTCAAAGAAGAGTCGTGCAAATGAAAACATGTGACAACCGCATGAAAACTGATCACCAGCTCAGTCGCATAGGTGGGAACCTAGCCTTAAATGTGGAAATGTCTGTTTGTAGCTGTCTTTCTCATGGTGTCCTCAGAGCTCATGGTATGCTTTGTTGTGGAGGAAATTGACAGATAAATGTGTACAGACGCTGCCCTTACACTGGCGGAGTCTATTAGCAACGTCTGTTGAGACGAGGGACCTATCACTGACCGAAGCACGTGGGAACTCACTTCACATCACAGCGTGAGGAGTGAATAAATAGGCCGTCTGCACTTTATTAGGACTTGGGATCCTTTGTAATTGTCCTTTGCCTCTTAGCCATGTGGTTCCCTTTACCAGGACCATGTGCTAAATTTATTTGTCTCTTCCAGATGAGTAGTAGGAGTCAACTTGCACATCTCCAGAACTGTTATACAACAAGTCCCAGCATGCCGGACTAGTTAATGGTGTCCATAGACTCTTACTATCCCCACTGGCTTGTGCATGTGGGTGAGATGCTGACCCTCAAGCATTGGCGACCTGACTCCTGGGATTTGTCCATCTCTGATGTGTATATACAAAAACTAAAATGTCATATAAGCTTTTAAAAAGTAATTTTCTCTTTTTTAAATCTTCATCTTTTATTTAAAGAAGAACTCCGGGCAAATCAAATCTGAACCCTTGCAGTGGGGCAAGGGTTAGGTGCTCCTTTTGTCTTGGGAGTTAAAATAACAAAGTTATACTCACCTGAACCACGATCCCGGCTGGCTCCTACACCACTCCTTGCTTATATTTTGCCTTTCCTGGTTTCTTCTTTCCCCTCTAATTAACATGCTCATGACAATTTTTAAACCTTTTCATTTTCATTACACACCTTTTATAGACCCATTGATGTCATCACTAGGTCTATAACCTGCTCTATGCAATGCAGGCAGATCATGAATGGTAGGAGGGGCCAGCAGGGTGCTGTACATAGGTTCCTGAAAACATCACAGGACCCTGCCTCAGTACTCTTCTTTTGATGCAAGCAGTGGGTTGCCTTTTGATGTGATTATGATAATTATTCTAATATTAAAATGCTTTGATTGGTGGGTGTCAGTCTGGAGGCGTGGGTATTCCTAGGCAGGCTGTATTTGCATGCAGATCAACCTAGGTAACACCCACATGTGATGCTGAGCCTCCATGATTGGAAGGACTGAAATGCAATGGATGAAAGAGGTGGGCCAGGGATGGCCCTGATACAAGCAGTGGGTTGTCTTGTGATGTGATTGTGATGATTATTTAAATATTAAAATGCTTTGATTGGTGGGTTTCAGTCTGGAGGCGTGGGTATTCCTAGACAGGCTGTATTTGCATGCAGACCAACCTAGGTAACACCCACATGTGATGCTGAGCCTCCATGATTGGAAGGACTGAAATCCAATGAATGAAAGGGGTTGGGCAAGGGATGGCCCTGATACAAGCAGTGGGCTGGCAGAGGAGATATGCAAATACCAAAACCCTGGATGAGTGTCAGTCTGAATGATTGGGCGTTCCTAGGAAGACTGAATTTGCATGTGGACCATCCTAGGTAACACCCACAAGTGCTGCTGAGCCTCTAGGATTGAATAAACTGAAATCGAATGAATGTACAGGGCCGGCCAGGGACAGTCTGGGGAGGTAAAGGCAGGAAATGAGGTGGGCTGTATCTGAATTGCTGCAGCTTTTAATGCACATTGTAAAAAGCTCACAGAGTGCAGTGGAATCAGAGTAAGCAATTTTACTCCGGGACTGGAGCCAGTACAACTGTGCAAGACTGAATGCAAGGCCGGAGGTCAGCTTTAAATCAGCTAAATACAACCATTAAGACCATTGGAGCGTCACTCATGCACAAAAGAATGTCACAGCACCAAATCCTAAGATGAGAGGTTGCAGTGTCACCTAGAATCCTGCTGAATATGGCTGCCGTGGAGTACAGAACACTCAATTTGGTGGCCTCACTTTGGCTTGGTGTCATTTGAGTTACATTAGACATTTGCTGACTAGTGCAACCCATTGTCTAGAGCCGCTCGTTAAACCATTAAGGATGTGAAAGAACCATAATTATGTTCCAAGACATTTGTATTTGCCAGGGTTGGTTGTGTACGCGTCTCAGCGGTCTTTGAGTTTTCAGACGTCTTTGGTTGCTGGCCCTCTAGTATTTCCTCCATTTTTACGTTTTTCATGTCCCCGGTGTATTTTTATGTTGTGTTAGATGAAGGCTGTAACTCAGTGACCAGCTAACGAGCCCGGCAGCGCATTTTAGCGTGAAACAGAGAATCCCGACTGACTGCGTTCTAATGTTCTTCTTCCTGTACAGGCAACAGGCACAGCAGGCTGAATGGAACCAAACAGGCCCTCGAATTCAAGTCAAAACAATGGTTTGGGGCAATGGTCAGGTCTCACAAGGAAAAAGTTGTGGTAAGCATGAAATTTTATCTAAACCTTTATGTCTGATGTCAGAATATGTATACACAGACTTACTGTTCTTTTATAGCAATGAAAAGCAGACTCTGTGTTTGTGCTGAGATGTAAAAGGGATTAAGTCTGATAAATATATAATAATGCGCTGGTACAGTAATGGCCACGTAATGGCTTTATCCTGTTTGTCATTAGCCATTTTGAAGAAACTATTTGTATTAGTGTTTTCGCCCTGCTAAGGAGCCCAGGTCAATGTATAAAGCAGTAAATGTGAGCTTTCACCAAACATTCTCTGGTGGTGAATAGGGCCCTGGTTCAGTCCCAACTTGAGTTTGTCCAAACTCAGAAGGAAGCTATCAGTGCAGTGGCAGGAGCATTTCCTGTTCTGCAGCTGATTAGACCAGCACTGACAGCTTCCTTCAGGGTTTGTAGGAATTCAAGTTCACTTAACCTGAGCTCATCGCTAGTGGTGAATCAATCACTGTCATCTGGGAGATTCTCTTGCAGTGAATGTTTGCTGAATGTCAGATTCACTGTCTTATTAAGAAGTGTTATCACAGAGATAGTGCTATAGTGTCATGGGCGACATTCTGCATGTGAATGTGCAAGTCAAATTTATTGAGGGTAAACTTGTGGGCCCTATTCACACCTTTGCGTCCAGTTCCGGTGCGGAAGCATGCAATATGCTAAGTGTTATCGTGTGTTGCATTAGGATAACCTGTTTAATGTCAATGGACAGCCAACACACTGCAACAGACAAAAAAAATGACCTTTTTTTACAATGCGCAGTATGTGCATTGTGGTGCTCAGCTACATCTTGTGTGTTAGATTCTATTCACAACTGATGGCATGCAATGGGCTGCAATGCAAAAGTGTAAATGGGCCCTATCTGTTTGGAGGCTCACTATTATTTTTTATGTTTTTAAACTGCTTCATATCTGTTTTTGACTTTCTGTCTCTCTCTCTCTCTCTCTCTCTCTCTCTAATATATATGTACAGTATATATACACACACAGTATACTGTATATTTCAAATCGTGATTTACAGAGAAACCTTTAAAAAAAAAGACAAATAATCAAATAATTTCTATTGTACGTGTAGGTTTTCGGTAAAGAGTGGCCACAATAGTAGCTGGGTGCTTTCAGTAAGCTGTCCCTCAATGAGATCTCAGATGAGGATAAGTCACTGTTCTGATGTATATACTTACTGTACGTAAATTTCAGCCTGAACTTCTAAATTCTGTTAGAACCTGGAAACTCAGCACAGAGATCTCACTAATTGAGTCCCAGACTGATATAAAAAAATTGCCAGGTGGCCTAACCATCCAGCATTTACCAAGAACGAAATAAAAGTTTTGGGTGGACTGGCCTTTTAAGTGCTTTGTTTGTTAATAGTACTCATTTATTTATGTAATTTCCCTATTGAACTGTCTATGAGACATGTAGAGGTTTAATTATAAAAAAATTTCACCTAAGATTTACACACCTTTTACTCAAGAGTAACACATTTTTCTAATGGATTCACTTGGAAAAATGTTTAAATCCTGGATTAAAGCTTGGTGAATCTTGTGTGCAAAATCTATCTATCTATCTATCTATCTCTCCATCTATCTATCTATCTATCTATCTATCTATCTATCTATCTATCTATCTATCTATCTATCTATCTATCTATCTATCTACAGTATGTCTGAGATGCACTTCTGAGAATTGCCATGATACCATGATCATACAGCCCATAGACAGTTCTGACCAGCTCCATCCACCGGGGACCAATTAGCGTGCCGTCGTCTTATGTTGCGGCAGTTAGTCATTTACCAACTATGTCTGCAGCTATTTGAGCTGCTTTGTCACTGTCTCTCATAGAGACCGCAGCTTGTTACATCCATCTGTAACATGTTGTCACAGTGTACAGTGTATCATACATCAGTAAAAGATATTTTGTTAAAACTTCCTTCCTCTGCTAGATGAATCCTGTTGTTGACAGCGAACCCTCTCGTCCTTTATGATTGTCTTTGTGAAAGTTGATAGAGAGTTTAGAAGGAAGAGAAGGAAATATACATTTAATTTTAGCTAATTTATTCAGTAGTTTTAGTTATAGTTTTTGCTATGCTATGGTATTACTTAGGGATAGATTTTTCTTTTTTTTTTTTTATGGCCAACATTAGCGCCAATTAAAATATTTTAAAGACAAGTATGCTTTATTTTACATTTAAGTTTAACATGTATGGTAACAAAAAAAATATACACATATAATTATATATATATACGGTACATACACACCCTTTAAGCTGTTTCTGAGTTATGTTAGGCTGCTTCTGAGTTGTGTTGGGCTGCTTCTGCATTGGATTGAGTTGCTTCATGCTGCTTTGAGACTTTATTATGTAGATTTGTAAGAAAAACCCCCCAAATAAGATGCAAACATAATCATTTAAACTTCCAGAAGTAAAAATTATGAATTTCATGTGTGATTAACATGACTTTATACTGAGGAAGACCCTAACAACATGGCCTGATGAGGATACCTGAGGAAGGTTCAGGGTTCCATACACGAGAATAATTGCTTTGTTAGGACTGATACAACACAAGACTGATCATTAGCGTGCACTGGTAAAATCTGTTAATTCTAACCATCAGAAACCTAGACGCAGTATGCAATGAAGTTGTTCTGAGTTGCTTTGACTTGTATTTGATTTGCCAAAGGATTGGAGTGGTATACCTGTATACTAGAGTTTGGCAGCTGGTAGGATCTCTCATCAATTGCGCACATTGACGTCATGTGTGTAAATTGGGATTGTAGGAGAGGTGCCATCTTTGCAGGAGTTTTCCCTTGTGATATTTCAGGTGGTGTTTGTGTATCTAGAAAACAGAGCTGTTTACCGTCTCAAGCTTGGCGGGGTGGATTGAATCTGACAGCTGGAGCAGATAGTTTTAGGTTTGGATATTTTCAAACTGTCATGTTTTCAGATACATTTTATCGAGCTGCAGTCTACCACCTCACTAATGGAAATGATCTGACAATCATTCTTCATGGCATGACGGGAAAAAGCAACTAGAAGGTTCGTGTGTTTACCAGACAGTACAAATGTAAAGGTTATTATGAGAGTCCCCGATTTAAATAAAAGACCCTCCACCGAAATACTATATTGGATTCATTCTTATAGTGTATCGTAACCATTGTTTTTTTAGGTTTTGGTAAAGAGGTTTTTTGCATGGATAACCATTGGTGAGATTTCATCTGACTTCCTTTACCTCCACTGTCACTAAGAAGGGAATATCTCAGACACACCATGCAACTGCTGCGGGACCCTCAGGGGGCCCAGAGCTGTCTGGCTACACATTGGCAAATACATTTGAATAAATACATGTACCTATAGTTTGGGAATTATGTATAGATGTCACCAGCACACCAAAATCCTTTAGGATCACAACGTGTTCATTTATTGAAGATTTTTGTCATTCGAAGATTCGAATGTCCCATGTAGTGGTAGGTTGCTCATAGTGACTGCGGATGGCACCACAAATAACAGCAATCATGTATAAATGTCACCAGCACACCAAAATCCTTTAGGATCACAACGTGTTCATTTAATAAAGATTCTTGTCATACAAACAAGCGCTTTTTGGGGCAGCACAGTGTCCCTTCATCAGGCTTAGCATTGACCTAAGCCTGATGAAGAGACACTGTGCGGTCATAAAAGCAGCATTGCCCTATACACATACACCACAGCAATAAAGTACTAAAATGAACTAGGATCACACTAATCCAGCACGTTATTATTCTGAGTTGCCCCACTCAAGCGGCGGCCATATTGAGTGGGGCATGTGAGATTAATAACGTGCTGGATTAGTGTGATCCTAGTTAATTTTATTACTTCATTGCTGTGCTGTATTTGTATAGGCCAATGTAGTTGGATCTGTATGTGCGTTATAATTAATCGAAATTAATCAATTAAAAAAAAGTTTGATTAATCGAACATGAAAATTTCAATCAGTAACAGCCCTAATATATATATACTGTATATATATTTCCCTGAAATGGACTTAAAATGCCTACAGTCTCGATATAACAGCTGTCTTCCCTTGTCTAGGCCTGTGCACCTTTATACCACTGGAGAAGCGTAAAAGAAGCCAGTGAACGGGACCCGGTGGGGACATGCTACATTGCTATTCAGAATTTCAGCTCATATGCAGAATACTCTCCTTGTCGCAACCGTAAGTCCTGGAAACACCTTGCTTTCAAAGTGTAACTTAATTGAATTTCCTTATTTGTTCCCTTTTGGTCTCCTAAATATACCATTGAAAGCTTTTTGTTATATTTGTTCAATAAGTTAAAAAAAAAAACACACTGATCCTTCTGGAATTCCAGTGAGCTTATAATTCCTGTTCTTTCTGCTTGTGCTACAGTGATATTCCAAGAAGTGTTGTCAGCCTTGTCCAGTTGTATCTGGGACCTACAAAACAGGTCCCACCTTTTTTTTTTAGGTAGATGAGAATAGGTGGAAGTATTCTGTAGTCCAAATCAGGAACAAGCAGCGTGGGGTGACAACGCTAGTCCTCCAAAGCTACACTACAGCTATGGCTATGGAGTTGTACTGTATTTGTAAAGCTTAAAATGGAAGTAAAGCTCTTTTTTTTTTTTTAATAAAACATAAAAAGGTGTCAGCACCCCCAGAGCTTTTAGTCAGATAAATGAGCACATTATGGCAGACTTACCTGCCAAACTGATCCCCTCCAGTGCTGTGCTCCTCCCTCGCCAGTGCTTCTTCTGGGTTTCGAGTCTTCGGCCGCTTGATCGGCTTGATGACGTAACTCCTACGCATGCACACAATAACACAAGAAAGAAATAATGAACTGTGAACCTTGAGATGGAACTGAGGGGCAATTCCAGTACAGCTGCCTCCATCTCTCCCAAAGCTGTGATAATGCCTTCGGGGTTTTCCCACAAGAGTGGGTTCTATTAAAGATACAAAGGGGGGGCTATAATAATCCCCATGGTTTTGGAATGGGATGTCCAACAAGCTCATATGGGAGTGATGGTCAGGTTTCCATAGACTTTAGAGCGAATAGTATAATATAATATAAGATAATATAATGCAGTTCTGATCCTCGGAAGTATTTGGTATAACACTTAGAAAGTTTCCAGCACGGTGCTGTCCCTTTGAGCCATGTCATACAAAAGAAGTCAGGCAGATGCCTTCATACTCATCACTCATCTTCCTGTCTATGGCCTATATTAGCAGCTTCTAGAAACTCAGACTACAACAGACTATCATCCGAGGCCTAAAATGCATAACATCCGAAGAATCTGTCTTGATTCCAGAGGGAATTTCCTGTAGGAATTCCAGTGAGATCCAATGATTATTTACAAAGGATTACTCACTAGAACATAAAGTAACCACTCCGAGGATGCAGCTGATATTTTGGCTTGTTGTCCCATAGATGTTACAATTCAGCATTCAAAATATGACATTTAATAAAGCCTGAACATATATATACATATATACAGTATATACACATATATCTATATACTGTATATATATCTATATTTATATCAATATATATATATATAGATATATTTATTTATTTTTTGCCTTTAGAATCATCAGTGCATTAGGGAATGTTGAGTTATAGGCTGGTGGATCCACTAGATACAGACATGGAATACACTTCGGCCAAAATGTTTTTTCTAGTTTTGAATAGAGAAGAGTTGGAACCTCTGTTTCTATTGCTGTATGTGTCCCCAATGGGCAGATCCCCCCCTTTACTTCCTGTCCTGGTGACTGTTGTAACCATTGGAGATAGAAAAACACCAGCACTCCATATGGAGTGTCAATGTTTCTATCTCCACTTGTGTACATGATGGTTGCCATCCGCCGACACTGCAGCACCTATCCAATTTATGTGGAACAAGCAGTCAGGAGTGCGATGGGTTCATGGACTTTTGTTGTCACCAGGACACAAGTTAAAAGAGAACTATGGGTTAAGTGTTTTTCCCCATAGTTCTCTTGAAGGTTACGAGAGGACATATACTAGCATCCTCCCGTGACCCAAAGCTCAGTATATTGCGAGCTACAGCTCACAGTATACTGAGACCGCCGCAACCGGGACGGATCCCGACATTACTGTCGAGATCCACCTAGCTGCGTGAGTGACAGCTGACTCTGCCTATGTAGAAGCAGAGCCAGCTGTACCCGCCCCTCCCTCGTCCATTCCTACAATCAGCGCTGAGGGGGGAATCCCTGCAGGGAGCCATGGGTGACAGTCACGGCTCTCTGCAGGGAACGGATCTAGAAGTGAGCAAGCGACGGTATGCGTTTGCTCACTTCCTGATCTATTGAGCCGACCTGTGACAGTTTCGTTGTCACACGTCGGCTACAACTATGAGGATGAGTCATTTTCACTCCCCTCATAGTTCTCCTTTAAGTTGAAGTTCGTGGTGGAGTGGAAATCTAAAGTGGTCTAAAGTCAAAGGCAAATCTCCCAACAGATACACCTTTTCCAGCGACAACCATCCAAAACGGGATTTCTCCTCTCTTACAGGACATTTTCTCTCACTTCCTGCTCTGTCTCTGCAACAGGAAATGAGGGGAAATCTAACAGGGACATAAAGTAATAGAAATCCTTCTTTCCCCTCTTTTTCCAAAACTAGAATAAAATTGGCTGGAGGAAATCTGTACTGAGAAGATTTATGGAGGAGCCGCTGCTGACCTTGTCTTCTAAAATGGCCCGGCTGTCATGCTGATCCAATGGCTTCAGTATTTTCTGACTTGGAGCTAGTATGCATATTCATGCTTTGAGCCGCCGTTGCTGGACAGCGTCATCCGTGTTGTTGCTGCAGTATTAGTTACTATTGAGGTTATCGGCTACACAATGTGTGACTTAGATATACTGAACCTTTTATGGTGACCCCAAAAAGGACACAGATGCAGAAAATACCTGACACAGGCTCTAACCCCTCCAAACATAATAAACTTGACTTTAAGCTCACATTGCCTTCTTGCAGACTTTGCTATACGGACCTGCAGCTCAAACAGTCTCTTTTCTTCTAGATAACGCTGACCCTGCGGGACAAGGTTACTGCCAGGCAGGATTCAGTCTGGATTTTTACAAGGTAATAAATTATATATATATATGTTTTCTGCCCTGTGACCCCATGGACTTAACCCCCGCTGTGCTTAAGATTGCTTCCCTGTGACCCCATGGACTTAACCCTTTCTGTGCCTTAAAATTCCTGCCCTCTGACCCCATGGACTTAACCCTTGCTTTGCCTAAGATTGCTGTCCTGTGACCCCATTGACCTAACCCCTGCTGCGCTAAAATTGCTGCCCTGTGACCCCATGGACTTAACCCCCGCTGTGCCTAATATTGCTGCCCTGTGACCCCGTGGACTTCACCCCTGCAGTTCCTAAAATTCCTGCCCTCTGACCCCATGGACTTAACCCTTGCTGTGCCTAAAATTGCTGCCCTGTGACCCCATGGACTTCACCACAGCTGTGCTTAAAATTGCTGCCGTGACCCCATTGACTTAACCCCCGCTGTGCCTAAAATTGATGCCCTATGACACCATGGACTTAACCCCTGCTGTGCCTAAAATTGATGCCCTATGACCCCATGGACTTAACCCCCGCTGTGCTTAAAATTCCTGCCCTCTGACCCTATGGACTTAACCCTCGCTTTGCCTAAAATTGCTGCCCTGTGACCCCATTGACTTAACCCTTGCTGTGCCTAAAATTGCTGCTCTGTGACCCCATGGACTAAACCCTCTCTGTGCCTAAAATTGCTGCCCTGTGATCCCATGGACTTAACCCCCGCTGTGCCTAAAATTGATGCCTTATGACCCCATGGACTTAACCCCCCCGCCGTGCCTAAAATTGATGCCCTGTGACCCCATGGGGCTAACCGTTGTTATGCCTAAAATTCATGCCCTCTGACCCCATGAACATAACCCTCACTGTGCCTAAAATTCCTGCCCTCTGACCCTATGGACGTAACCCTTGCTGTGCCTAGGATTGCTGCCCTGTGACCCCATGGACTTAAATTGCAGATTTTTGAACCTGGACTCTAACCTTGCCCTACCTTATTGCTCTTTATCCCATTGCTGTGAATCTGGAGTCTACCCCGACTGTAACTTATGACTTTGAATCCCTTAATAAAGAACCCAAGAAACCTAAAAAAAAACCCTCTAAATCCCCCTGTGTGTTCTCTTTCACCCTCCCCACCATCACAGTATACAGTGTATATATATATGGAAAAATATGGCAAAGGTGTTTTATTTTACATGTGTCCAATGCACCGCAGTAAACAGAACTTGAAAGCTGAAGTTTAATCTGCTTATATGTATTTTGCCTTCCCTGTTTCCTTCCTTCCCCCTCCTCACCATGCTAAGGACATTTATTTAAAAATCCTTTCCGTATTCATTACATACCTTATTTTAGACCCAGTGATGTCATCACTAGGTCCTTGTGATTCTCTGTGCTTTGCAGGACGACCATAGCAGGTGGGAGGGGCCGAGAAGGTGCTATACATATAAAATCACAGCACCCTGCCCTAGTACTTCTCTCAAGAACCCTGAGCCCTGATACAAGCAGTGGGCTGGCTGTTGGGAGGAGTTATGCAAATAGCAAAAAAAACCTTGATGTCAGTCTGAAGGAGTGGGCATTCCTAGGAAGACTGCATTTACAGGGTAACACCCACAGGTGCTGTTGAGCCTCTAGGAATGAATGCACTGAAATCCAATTAATGAAAGGGGCGGGCCAGGGACAGTCAGACTGGGGAGGAAAGAGCTAGATGATGCTGGGCATGCCCAGCCAGGAAATTAGGCAGACTCTATCGGTCTTGCTGTGGCTTCTAATGTACATGGTGAGAAGCTCACCGTGTGCAGTGACATCAGAGGAAGCAATGTCAGTCCAGGAGAGGAGCCGGTACAACTCTGCAAGACTGAAGGGGAAGGCCGGAGATCAGCTTTAATGTAAAAATAAAGTAATAAAAAGAAACTAAACCGCCTTTTCTTTACAATTGCTGTTTTCTGCATTTTTCCAGAACTGCCAATACATTTGAGACTTTTGACCCGCCAGTGATACATTATACGGACTATAAAACTGACGTATAGCTGGTAGGAAAATGGAGGCCGTCCGCGTTTTTCGCGTTGTGTCGGAAATCCCTGTAGACAGAGTTTTCTGGAAAAATAATTATAGTTGACGTGATAACGAATCTGTGTTGTGCTTCTTGTAAAATGCTTTGTGTAGAAGTCAGGCAGAATCCCAGTCACAGTTCTGAGTATTTAAATGAGTGGCGTCCTCATTTCACAGCATAAGCTTTGCAGTGTTCCAGGTCATGTGACACGTGTAGTGCGGTAAAGCAGTAACCAGTAAGCAATCATCTCTTGACCTGATTTCAGTAAACTGCCATGTGATTGGCTAGCAGGGATTATTGCACTCTGTAGCGCAGGGGAGGGCAATTCTGGCCCTCTGGCTGTGCTTTAACTACAAATCTCAACATGCTTCTGCCTCTGGGGGTCATGCTTGTAACTGTCAGTCTTGCAGTGCCTCATGGGACTTGTAGTTCCACAACAGCTGCAGGGCCAGAGTTGGCCAACACCTGCTGCAGACTGTTACTGCTCTTTATATTATCTGATATGTCTGTAACCTCCTGACACTGCTGCCAGAGATTTCCCCTGCAGACCTTTTTTTTTAAAAATGTCCTCAGTTTGATGGCCAGCATCATTCAACCCACTTCTTCTGGGCCCAGGTGGATACTGAATCGTCACTTTGGCATTTCAATAAAGTAAAAAAAAGGGTTAAGTGCTGTTTTTGACTAGGGGGCTTAAATAAAGCAGATAGATTTACCTGATCCTCAGGCCTTCTGGGGTGCTAGACCTGTCCCCAAAGCCTCTTCTCCCCCAGGCTCCAGTCGTCTAAGGCTGCTGACCTCATCACGTGCTTATGGCCGCAGGCAGTGGCTGCGCGCAGAGGGTGCAGCCCGCACCTGGATGACACCAATAAAGAGGTGATACTAAAATGACTTGACAGTCATTTTGGTGTCACCCCCCCAAAAAAAAAAAACCCGGGCACTCAGTCATGGACCGATAGTCCAACAGTGCTCAAAAGAGGAGGGGACCCGGTACACCCCCCCAAAAAAAAAAAACCCGGGCACTCGATCATGGACCGATAGTCCAACAGTGCTCAAAAGAGGAGGGGACCCGGTGGCATACCTTATCCCACTGGATGAATGTCCCCTCCGCTCTCTGCCAGCGTCCATCACCATGATAGCTGCTGAGAGGTAACAGTGTGTGATATCATCACGCGCGTGCACGATGACGTCACACACGTGTGCAATGCTGTCACTGCGGGATGTCACCCAGTACCCGCTCCAGGTGACACTCTGCCTCAGGAACGCCCCTGGCCGCAGGACTGAAGATCAGGTGAGTACAACAGCTTTTTTTTTTACCCCCTAGATCAGTGGTAGGCAATCCCGGCCCTCCAGCTGTGGTGGAACTACAAGTCCCATGAGGCATTGTAAGACTCTGCCAGCCACAGGCATGACTCCCAGAGGCAGAAGCATGATGGGATTTGGAGTTTCACCACAGCTGGAGTGCCGAGGTTGCCTACCCCTGCCCTAGCTAAAACAAGCACCACTGCAAGGGTAAGTTTATGATTCTAAACTTCTATTTTAACTGACTGGGCAGCCAGCGCACCTTAACATGCTAAATAAATCTTTCCTGTCCCTTTTTTTGGAATGCACTAAAACGCCTTATTATGCAATCCCTTGTTTTGCAGTGCATCCCTTGTCAATGCAGGTTTGTCCTCTGTGTAGACAAAATATTCCTCGAGTGATGCATTGTTGCCAGTCGCTTGTTTTCCCCATAGCCGCGTGATAGATAAACATTTACAATCTGGCTGATAAAGTTAAACAATTTCTGAAAATCCTTGAGCTTCCAAAATGGAACAGAGAGTTTTTCATGGTTGCCGCAAATGTTTTCTCGCTTGGCAGCTGCCGGTGACACTGAAATTTCTCAGCTGCAACATCCTTTGGCTCGCTCTGAAAATATTGAACCCAGTGACAGAATCCGTAGAACATTAACAGCGCTTATCTACAATGTATTTATATTACATGTCAGCGGTAATGTATGGCTGTCTCTGGTTTCTTTAACTTGAGCAACACAGGTCGGGAAAATGTGCCAAATGGGGCTTAAGAAGGATCCCGACGACTCGGCTCTGGTTATTTTTTAATATCTTCATGTTTTAGTCCTTTTGATGGATTGAAGTGTAATGAGACGTGTTTTATCCACAAGAATCTAAAACCGATACAGTATCAGAGCCTGGTAGAAGAGCCTAGTAGAAGATCCTTATAGAAGAGCCTAGTTGAAGCACATAATGAAAGAGCCTAGTAGAAGAGCCTAATAGAAGAGCCTAGTTGAAGAACATAATGGAAGAGCCTAGTTGAAAAGCCTAGTAGAAGAGCCTAGTAGAAAAGCCTAGCTGAAGAGCCTAGCTGAAGTGCCTAATAAAAGAGGCTAGTAGAAGAGCCTAATAGAAGAGACTAGAAGAAGAGCCTAGTAGAAGAGTCTAATAGAAGAGCCTAATGGAAGAGCCTAGTAGAAGAGTTTAATAGAAGAGCCTATTAGAAGAACCTAGTAGAAGAGCCTAACAGAAGAGTCTAATAGATGAGCCTAGTAGATGAGCCTAGTTGAAGTGCCTAATAAAAGAGCCAAGTAGAAGAGCCTAGCTGAATAGCCTAGCTGAATAGCCTAGCTGAATAGCCTAGCTGAAGTGCCTAATAAAAGAGCCGAGTAGAAGAGACTAGAAGGACAGCCTAGTAGAAGAGACTAATGGAAGAGCCTAATGGAAGAGCCTAGTAGAAGAACCTAGTAGAAGAGTCTATTAGAAGAGCCTAATAAAAGAGCCTAATAGAAGAGTCTAATAAAATTATTATTATCCCTGGTATTTATATAGCGCAGACAATTTTACGCAGCGCTTTACATAGTTGCACATTCACATCAGTCCCTGCCCTCAAGAAGCATACAATCTAAGGACGCTATCTCACATTCGAGGGCCAATTTTGACAGGAGCCAATTAACCTTCCAACAGGTCTTAGACAAGCCAAATAGACAAGCCGAATAGAAGGGTCTAATAGAAAAGTTTAATAGAAGAGTCCCCCAATCCAGAGTGAATGACCACTGTGCCGAGCCAATGACCCTGTGTGTTTTCACCAGCAGAGGGGAAGTCACTCAGCACAGCAGCCATTCAGCAAGCGCTTAGTATTTTCATGAATGAAAACTTGGCGATCTATGATTGGACAAGGGGCAGTGGCATCAGGATCTGCCCCTCATCCAATCAGAAAATGTCTAGTATTCATTGATAAAAATACTACTGTAGGTGTTCACTAAATGGCCACTGTGCCGAGTTTTTACAGCAGAGGGAAAGTCGCTCAGAACAGCAGCCATTCAGAAAATGACTAGTTTTTTCATCAATGAATACTAGGTGTTCTATAATTGGATAAGGGGCGGTGGCATCAAACCCCTCATCCAATTAGAAAACATATAGTATTCATTGATAAGAATACTACTGTAGATGTTCACTAAATGGCCACTGTGCCGAGTTTTTACAGCAGAAACACAGTGCCATTCGGCAAATGCATCGTATTTTCCTAAATAAATACTAGGCGTTCTATGATTAGACAAGGGGTGATGGCATCACAATACGCCTCTCATCCAATCAGAGAATATCTGATATTTGTGGCTAAAAATATTAGGCGTTCACTAAATGGTCACAGTGCCGGTTTTCGCAGCAGAGATGAAGTCGCTCAGCACGGTGGCATGCAGGACCCAGATGATCGCTGTAGAGCACTACTGCAGTGGTTCTCAACCAGTGGGTCGTGACCCAAAAGTGGGTCGCACCCCACAGTTGAGGGGGTCCCCACATGCCTTGTGCTGCTCTAGGTAAGAGGCTCCTCAGCCTCCTCCTAGCGCAGCAGTGTCAGTTCTCCTAGATGGCGCTGCAGCAGCAGTGGCCAAAGAGGATCAGAGAGAGGGGATCAGGCAGGAGTGAGGGGAGGTGAGTGCTTGATAACCACAGAGTACGCAATAAGCACCACAGAGCCCGCACTGGACGCCAACAGAGAGTCCCACTAGCCACCTGAGAGCCCGCATAGCCTCCCGAGAGCCCACATAGATACTAGTATTGGTGCATCCCTAAATTTTACGGTTGGGGGTCACCACAACTTGGCAAATGTTACCAAGGGGTTCCGGCCCTAGAAAGGTTGCGAATCACTGCACTACTGTATAGGAGCTCAGGCATTTACAGTGTTTTACAGGATCCCCGTGACCCAACCAGGTATAAAATATGTATATATACACTAGGCCAAGGTGGACCAATCTAAGTATATATAAATATACTGTATTTACCTGGAATTCAGCTTTTTGTATTGTGGCATAGAAGTGTACCTACCTTTTTTCATGGACGTTGCCTTTAAATATAGTCCTATAGCTGGAAAACTTCTAATTTCCTTCACTCCAGACGTTGTGTAGCGTCTTGGACCTGACATATAACAGTAGCACATTATCCTTCGCCGTCTCTTCTGTAACTCTAATACTGTCAGGAACACTTTAGTTTGGAACTCTCGGACAGTTTACACATGCAAAGTATTAATGGATGTCATTTGTCTTCTGTCTAGAATGGAGACCTCGCTTTGGGAGGACCCGGCAGCTATTACTGGCAAGGTAAGATTGATGCAGCCGGATCCGGCACTACATTGATCACACTTGTTACTTCTAGCGACATTCATCCTCAACGCCATTCGCACGCATTTCACAATGTCATGTCTTATATACAGTACTCCTGCTGTCCAGTTTTTTTTGTGCATTCCAGGGAGGTGAGGTCATATCTGGATTTGGAATAAATGCGATAACTTTAAAAACTGCTCTATTCACACGGTTCTTGTTACTATGTGTTTAGGAAACACTCTAATGGTTACAGTAATAGTTTGACAAGAGAAGACAGAACATCTCATGTAGAATGTAATCCCTTTAAGGCATCTTTTATTTACAGAAACCTATTTGGCCGGCTCTGCGTCAGCTGTTGAAGCTGTTTGGTTGGGTCGGTTGGCCTGGTCTGCGCAGTGTGATGGAAAGCACATTTGAAGGGATATAGTTTATGTTTAAAAATTGATCACAAGAGACACATTTTATTCATGGCGATGGATTTCTAGAGAAGAAAATCTAATCTTTATAGTATTATCATGAAAGGAAGCCTGTCATGAGAAAAATATGGCTGATCTGTTCCTCAGAATGCTAGATTTCTGGCTGTCATGCCGACCTCTTGTCTTCAAAGCTTCCTTGGTCACTGACCTGGAGCAGATTAGGAAACTTGGCTTTAAGGATAACTGAACCCTGCCCAGAGGCGTAGCTACAAAAAAGTGTGCCTCTGGCGTCCTGTCTAGCTACTGGCAAACAGTGACATCACCGGTTGCCAGAAGCTGGGGAGGACACCAGCCAGAGCGTCCCAAGTTGCTAAGAGCCTGGCGGGGCGATGTGTAAGGGCCATACATATCTCATCGGCCAGCTCTTAGCACTCTGGGATGCTCTGGCTGGCATCCCACCCAGCTCATGGCAACAGGTGATGTTGGTTGCCAATGCATAATGCAGTACAGTGCACCACAACACTTATACAATGCATTGTGGTGTACTTTGTTGTAAAATGAGGGTCCAGTACTTTTTCTCATCTGTTGTGGTGCATGGGCAGCTCATTTAGCATGGATAGACTGCTTTAACGCAACACATATTATCGCATGTCATAATGGGTGATAACCCAATGGAATACCGAAATGTGAATGGACTGTAAAAAAATGGCTATACACACACTAATGTGGTCACCCAGCGTGTGTATATTTGGCACCACTCCAGGGAGCTGGTCTGAGAATTCTCAGCCGAGCAGTGACTGCAGTCAATCAGTGGTAGTCAGTGTATGGGTACTCTGACAATGGCACATCCGCCGCTGTCAGAATACAATAGCCTGGCAGAGTGGATTAACCTCATCCACTCTGTTAGCCTCTCTATAAAGCCACAGATCAATTTTTGGCAAATTCAGCAGGAATTCAATCTATGGGTGGCCTTTTGACTTTTGTCAAAGGGAAATGTTGGAAAATTGTCAGGCGAAACATGGTTAAAGCCAATCAGCTGCAAGCACCGTTTGGGTATTCTAACTTGTCCACATTAGTGTATGTATACTCATATTTTAGGGTCCATTCATATGTAGGCATTCCATTGTGTTAACATGCATAATGACATGCATTAACATGCTTTGCTTTAAGACAACCCATGCATTATGAATGGCTGCCAATGCACCTCAATTGATAAAAAAAAAAGTGCATGACCTGCTTTTTAAAACACCCCTCAATGCACGGTAGACACATGGTGGTGCGTTGCAGTGCAATGAGAAGAAGGACTCAATCGGAGATTGGTCTGTCAGGAACCTGCCTATCGCTGTGTACCCAGCTTACACGTATGGCCAGCTTGAGCTGCGTTTATGCCCCTATATTTCATTACCCACCACCATTGTAATCAAGCATTCTGGAACGTGCCACATGTCATCTATAAAACAAATTAAAGAGCATCAGTCAGCAGATCTGCAAGTTTTGTGAGCCATATAACCCGTCACTCTATATACTAGATTTAAAGTTGATTGTAATTATAGGCAACAATATGAAATATAACATTAGGATGAACGCCATGTCTTTCCGGAGCCAAGCTGACTTAGTAAAATTAAATCAGTGTAGACGATGTCCTTTATTAACAATGCGTTATTACTTCCACCTGTAGGGTACAATCATGGAGAACTCTCTGCAGGTCTAACGACGATAGGGTTTGTTTTTTTTTTGTAGCTGTTTATAGATTTCCGGTCATAAAAGGAAAACAGATGTGAGGTTTATAATGGGCTCCCATTTAAACAGGTCAGCTTAGTTAATTGGCTGAGCTCTGAGAGGAATTGAAGGGATAAAAGGGAATAAACGTAAACCAGAGGATGTGCAGAATCAGATGACAGTGTGAACAGAAAACGTAGTACATTTAAAAGGACACTCTACCCGGAATTTAAAAGTTAGAGGCTACCTTTAAGCAAAATCATAATCTAAAGATTTTGTTTATGTATCCAAGATTTATCCAACATACACTCCCTGGATGCTTTATTAGGTACACCTATTCAACTGACCGTTAACACAAATATCTAATCAGCCAATCAAATGGCAGCAACTCAATGAATTTAGACATGTGGACATGGTCAAGACTAAGGATGCACCGATACCGGTTTTTCAGTATCAGGTAGGAGTACCGATATTTATACTTCGGTACTCGCCAATACCGAGTACCAATACCGGTAGCATGGAGTCGGCTTCCCAGCCAATCAGGTAGCTGGGAGGCGGGTCATTACCTGCCGCTCGGCTTCCCGATTGGCTGGAAAGCCGGCTCCATATTCTCTCGTGGCACTCTCCCTCTGACCAGTAGTTTCGGTATCAGGGAAGGTATCGGAGCATTTCGGCGACTACAAGTACTTACCCAAATACTCGGTATCGGCACTGATACTAGTATCGGCATTGGTGCATCCCTAGTCCAGACGATCTGCTGAAGTTCAAACCAAGCCTCAGAATGGGGAAGAAAGGTGATTTAGGTGAATTTAATACATGGACAGATTAGAGGGCTTATTTTTATACATTGTAACAAAGCCTAAGAATCTTTCCATTGTACATTATACTAAATGTTTTTAGCTATGAGCTTGTTTTAAGCCTTGAGCCTAAGGTCTTGGGTTCCAATCAGTTAATTAATATAAATGATCTCAGTGGTGCAGAAGGCACGTCTTGATCTGCGGTGACATCACTTCCTTCCAGTGAGCTGATAACCTTGATACAGAATATCATGCTCTGCTACGTATGAACATTTCACAGTTCAAGCCGGGACATTTATTTCCCTCGTAGCTGTTCTGCCCTGACATTACCCCATCCAGCATTAAACATACAGCGGTGTCCGGGGAAGGTTAGTAGACAGAGTCGAGACTTTGGCCTATGCCCAGGCTTGCGTGCCCCTAGGTGACAAACTTGTTCTTTGCATAAGGAACTTGTTTATAGTTATTTTGTATTCATTTATGTAAAACTGATTATTTTTATTACAAGGTTTCTTGAAACAATTATTTTTTCATTTCAGGACAGGTCTTCAGTGTCAGCATTGCCGAAATCATTAAGGGGTATTCCTTCAGGGCCATCTTGCGGGAAGTGGCTGGAGAGAGAAGGACCAAAGTTGCTGACTCCAACTATGACGACAGCTATCTAGGTAAGACTGTAAAGTATATTACTCTGTATATAAACCTAAGAGCAGAAATGTCATATATTGCAATATGTTGGGGATTACCACTCTATAGTTGTGGTGGCTGCATTCGTTTTCTACTTTCAGGCTTTTTTCCCCCTTTATTTTCACCTGTGATCCTGCCAATAATACACTTCCTGTCATAGGGTGACAACGCTTACTTACTGTACTGTGTCTATGGAGGACCAGTGTTGTTGGGCCCCATTCATACTTGTAAATGATGCTAGTTGGGTAAGCCTTGCAAATTGCAATTGCATGCAAACAGCTGTCTCCTCTCAGCCATTCACATGTGTCTGCTCTTTCTGCAATTACCTGCAGAAAATTGCTCCTGTATGCAGACAATCTGCTTCCAGGAGCGATTGTATCACAGCATGAGCAATTACATGCGGGCAGCGGTCCTTTGACTGCCAGAGCCCGGGGAGAAGAGGCTGTGGGGACCGATCTAGCTATCCAGCAGTCCCAAGGATCAGGATATCTGCTTTATATAACCCTTATAGTAGCTCTACTGCAAGGGTAAGTTTTTTAGATTCTTGGAATTCCTCTTTAATGGTTAATGGAGTGAAATCGACAATCGGTTTTGACCGTACTGATGAAAAAAAATGAAAGAAGCAGAATGGAAAAGTTATCTTGAATGAACGCAATTCTTACAGTGAATGTGTTTTTTTTCCCCGGGAAATTCCCTTAATTTCCAAAATCGAATGATAAAATTAGACAAAATTTTGAATGACATTTGTCAAGTTTCTGATGAAAGTTCATCTGAAAATCTACCAGTGTTTGCCCAATTTGATGTTGATTTGATGCTACACGTGTAATATACACCTATCATCTATATCGTTATGACCACTGACAGGTGATTGATTGACATAGATTTTCTCACTTCAATGGCACCTGGAGCTGTGGGGATATATTAGGCAACAAGTGAACATTTTGTCCCTGAAGTTGATGTGTTGGAGGCACAAAAAATGGGCAAGTGTAAGGATTTGAGCCACTTTGACAAGGGCCAAGTTGTGGTGGCTAGATAACTGGGTCAGAGCAACTCCAAAACTGCAGCTCTGGTAAGATGTTCCCGGTCTGCATTGATCAGGACCTACCAAAAGTGGTCCAAGGAAAAAACAAAACGGTGAACTGGCGACATGTTCATGGGTGACCAAGGCTCACTGATGCACGTGGGGAACAAAGTCTGGCTTGTCTAGCCCAATCCAATAGAAGAGCTCCTGTAGGTCAAATGGCTTGGTGGATATTTATTGATTACAAGTATTTAAATTGCGCTGACAATCTACACAGCGCTTTACGTAGTGCACATTTACATCAGTCCCTGCCCTCAAGGAGCTTACAGTCTAAAGTCCCTTTCTCACATACATAGGAGGGCCAATTTAGAGACAATTAACCTACCACCATGTCTTTGGAGTGTGGGAGCAAATCGGGGTACCAGGAGGAAACCTACACAAGCTCATGGAAAACATGCAAACTCCTTGCAGATAGTGTCCACGCCGGGATACCACAGCATACCTTCAAAGGGCTAGTGGAGTCCATGCTCGGTGGGTCAGGGCTGTTTTGGTGGCAAAAGGGGGACATCTCAATATTAGGCGGGTGGTCATAATGGTATGGCTGACCGGTGTACACTGTTCAGGCATTCGCTGTATTTTGAGAATTCCGATCTCTTTTCTCTGTGTCTTTTCTTTTTGAACAAAATATCTGTAATTAAACACCTTCAATCAAAACTATCTGATTAAAAAGAAAAAAGATAAAACCGTGGAGTCCCTGCGTGATAAGAACACGGGTTCTTCAATTTGCCATAGGATAACAAAAACTAATAGGCCATGATATCATTAAAATGTAAACAGTAGAGTGGAGATTGTGTATTCTCCTCATTTATTTCAATCGTGAATTACGTTTCAACAGTTACATAAAAGAAGTTTGGAGTTCTGCTTGAGGAAACGTGGAATTTTCCTGCAGGACAGAGAAAAGTGAATCCAGGACGGTGAGACGCTGCTGCCTATAGAATGTATCACAGCGGTTGCCGTTATGTGTTGTATAAACAGGATATGGTCCATTGAGATATGCCCTTCCTCAGAGGGTTGTCCTCATCTCAACAATATGGTTTATTTATATAGGAGAGATAGTTCCATGTCCCGCATAATCTCCTGCAGAGAAGCATCTGACTGTTTATTAACAAGGAAAATATACAAATGATAATTGCATTTAGCAAAAGAAAATTAATACTCTTGTTTCCTAAGGGCTGAGCCTTTGATGGACAAATATATTTTATTTATTTATAATATATTTTATTCTAGATTTTAATGAGATTAAGCTCTCTCGTGCTATCTGTGCTGACTGGGGGAAAACACGCGTTCTTACACATGCCCTATACAGTCGCTTTCAAAAGTATTCACTCCCCTTGGCATTTTTCCTATTTTGTTACATTGCCATCTGGAATTAAAGTGGATTATATGGGGGTTTCGTATCATTTGATTTACGCAACATGCCGACCACTTTGAGGATGCAAAATATTTTTTATTATGATAAAGACATGTCCACCAGGTATGTAGCATGGTGTCTTGGCTACTGCAGCCACGGAAGCAGGTAGGAGAGCAAGAAGGTATATAGTAGGGACGCACCAATACCATTTTTTTGGTATCGAGTACGAGTACCGATATTTTTTTTTCAGTACTCACCAATACCGATACCGATACCGGAAATCCCATTAAGGAAGCCAGGCGGCATGTAATGACTCACCACCTGGCGTCCTGATTAGCCGTGAAGCCATGCGGCGTGTAAAGTGCCGCCATCCAGCTTCCCGATTAGCAGGGAAGCCGTCTCCATGCCTCCTCCTCATCAGGTGACGAGAAAGCATGGAGCTGGCTTTCTGGCCAATCAGGAAGGCGGGCGCCTTGTAATAACTTGCCGTCGGCTTCCTGATTGGCCAGCTTCCCGACCTATGAGGAAGCCAGGCAGAGAGTCATTACTAGGGATGCACCGATACCACTTTTTTAAGACCGAGTACGAGTACCGATACTTTTGATCAAGTACTCGCCGATACCAATTACCGATACTTTTTCTTAAAGGACCAGGTCATGTATCAGATAGATCTCCCTGTGTCCACTTTCTCTGTTCACTGTTGATGTCTGCTGCTGTCCCCCACAACCTCAGCAGCTCTCTTGACAGCAGCAAATCAGCTACCTCTTTACACGTGTCCCGCAACCTGGGGAGTGAAAGCAGATCTCCCTGCACTTCAAAAGGGGCTAAACCACACAGTTCTCTCTCAGTCCCTCAAGCCACCTGGGGACTGTAGTTTACTCTGCATGTACCTGCATTGTTTTTCTCTATCTCAGAACTACAATTCCCAAGAGTGCGTCTGCTCGCAGATTGCAGTGATCTCAGACAAGTGACAACAAATTAAGTCTCTTCCCGTCCCCTACGTTAATTTGTGTTCTGCAAACAACCAGAGTACTGTATGTATGACATGACTTCTTCCCCCCAGCATGTTTTGCCATTACAGCTTCATTCTGTACAAACCTTTTTATTGGCATAAAGCAACAACATCAAAAATATCTGTGACTTTACTAACCTGCTGTGTCGTGTCGTGCCATCTTCTCCGTCTGCTTCAGCCACTCCGTGTCACAGCCTAGTCATCTGCTCCATTCTGACCTCTTCTCCCGCTAATTGGCCGATTGGATGATTGACAGGCTTCCTCACCAGTCAGGAGTATCGGGCTAGGCATCGGAGCATTAGGGCGAGTGCTCATGCTAGCCCAAATACTCGGCATCTACACCCATACCGATACTAGTATCGGTAACGGTGCATCCCTAGTATATAGTTTGAGACTGTAGTTGGAGTTAGGTAGCAACGGTACATCACTTTAAATGAGTTTTCTTAAAGTGACATTAAAGTCACAAATATTTTCCTCCCCCCACCCATGCTGCTTTAAGGACTTACCTTAAATGATGCCTCTTGATCCGATTATCTTCTTCCTTCCACTTGTATTGAGAAGTCCCCCCAGCACTGATGCCGGTCTCTGATTCAGCGCAGACTCCTGGGGTCCCACGGTGTCAGTCTGACATGCATGCTCACAGCTGCGTGCATTCACCTTCACCGTGTCTCTCCTCTTCTTCCGGCCAAAGATGGGCCCGCCCCATCATCCTGCTCGGCCGCTCGAGAAGCTCCAGATCTTTAGACGGGAGCGAGCAGCGGTGACAAAGGTAAGTAATTAGGTTTTTGGTAACTTTTTTTATTTTCTCAAATGTTTTTGCATATATCTACTGCTTGCTAGCAGTAGATATATGCTAAAAAAAAACAGAGTGTTTAACTCTACTTTAATGGACTATTTATAGTAGGTTCCAACTGGGGACATGGCACGGTTATTCTAAACCAGTCCAATAATTTATTATCAATTAGATTTTCAGTTCTTAGAAACTACACATTGATAGACGAGGCTTAAAATATTTAGAGCTTGCAGGCGGATACAACTGTAACATTATAGGCTGCAAATCAATCCACTGGACAGGTAATTATCTTAATATCCTCTACTGCAGCCCGTCTTGCCCCTTGACAGACGTCAATGATGTTTCATGTGATTTGACATTGCTGCTTCTATAAAATTACACGCTTACCCCTGAGACAGAGAATACGGGACAATTTTCTGTATTACAATAAACAGTTCCCTCATTTCATCCATTCACCGTCCGGTCTAATGTGTAACATTGCGAGATGTGTTTACTGGGTCTTGTTGCTGTAATCAGGAGTCCTCGATGGCTCTTGGCCATTTTATCTGACCTGAACATTTCGTTGAGTGTCTCCCCTTGTATGCTCAGGCAGGATGGAGGTTAATTTGATATGTAAATAGCTGCTACACCACTTGCTGGTGAGGCAAATTAAAACCTACAGCTTCCTAGTTTTCAGTCATGTTCACTTTAAATCTCCGAGTTTTGGAACTGTTAGGGCAGAATGTGGGGCCTGCTGCGACGTGGGCCATCCATACTACACTATAATAGAAGTAATTAGAACCAGGCACTGAGGTGTAATTAGGAAAGAGCTTTGATGCCTTAATTGGCCTGTACATTGTCACATATATTATTATACATCTGTGTAAAAATTATAGAGAATATATGAACAGTTAAATTGTCCCTGTGTGTGTTGTAGTGTAGTTACCACTCCAAGCTCACTCCTGTGATAGACAACAATCTCATGTTTAGTTTACTCATTTGTATTGAGATTGTAGTCCATCACCGGAGTGAGCTTGGAGTGGTAACTACACTACAACACACACAGGGACCATGGGGAACAAAAGTACTCCCCCTCCAGAAGGAAGGACCGTGTCAGCACCAATTCAGAGATGATTTGAGGATCTACAGCCGAGTGATACACAAATAAGATACATTTTTTGTTAATAGCTGAGGTACTTGAATGCATTTTTAAGATTTAACTCCTGAGTTTAGTGTGTCCCCATTAAAAATATTAAAAATATTTCCCCTCATTTCCTAGACAGGACATGAGAGGAAACTTACCTAATGGGACACAAAAAGAAAGAAAACCCTGACAGTGGTTCTAAACCTTCCTCTAATAAAAAATTATGTGTATTGCAGTGTCCCTCTTGGGGGGATTTACCCTCACTTCCTTCTTGGTGTGACACCCATCAGATTGATAGGAAATGAAAAAAAATCTCCCAAAATATGCATAGACAGCAATGACCACCATCTGCTGGAGTCACCTTTTCAGCAGTAATTGACAGATATTTGTTTTTTTTCCATTCATTCACATTAAATTGTGTTCCTCCAGTTTCCACAGCATTCTAAACCGAGATGAAGGCAACCTGGCCCCAGAAACATGTTGGCTTGTTCTCTTGGAATAAATACCCTTGGACTCTAGACTCTTAGGTGTGGGGCTCTTAAGTCATTTTTGTTCCCAGTAATAAAATGTTGCTAGAGGTCCTACAGTAGCTCTTGCTCACTCACTAAAATAATAAAAAATGTCTACTCTTTGGTGGTAAGAAAAAGGCCAGCACAGAAACATTAAGGGGATGTCTGTATCATTGTACTTGATGGTACAGTTTGTATCTATACATTTCTGTGGGTTTAATGTTTAGCAAAATGCAGGCTGAAGCATGTTCCCTTCCGGTTAGATTGGAGCTCCGGCCTTCCTTTCAGTTTGCACAGTTGTACCGGCTTCTCTCCTACACTGGAATTGCTTACTCTGGTTTCACTGCACACTGAGAGCTTCTCATAAAGTGCATTAGAAGCTGCAGCAAGTCAAATAGAGCCCGCCTCATTTTCTGGCTGGAGGATGCCTAACATCATCTAGCATTTTCCTTCCCAGCATGACTGCCCCCGGTCCACCCCGTTCATTCATTGGATTTCAGTTTTTGCAATCATGGAGACTCAGCATCACTCATTCCTGTTTTAAATAAGCTATGTACAACACCCTGCCAGTCCATCCAGCCATAATCTTCCTGCATAGGGAAACACAGAGATCCATTGATGATGCCACTGGGTCTAAAATAAAATACTTCATGAAAAAATTATAGTTTTTTTTTTTTATTAGCATGTTGATGATGAGAATAGCAGGAACCAGGGAAGGCAAACTATGGGCAGATTAAACTTCGGCTTTAATAGAAAATAAATGCTGTGTGGTTTTCACAGTCCCAGCATGCAAACCACATGTAACCAAGAACACCAAATTAATTTTTAAAACCGCGGCGGAAACGGGTGCTCTCTTATGGTGCCGTCACAGTGTCTTGTATTTCCTATGTTACTATATATTATAAAATATATAACATGCAAGGCTGAAGCACCCATAAATATGGCTCTGCCATTAGCTTCCATGGGGCCATCAGTTTTTCATAGGATGCTCTATAAACAAGTCTTCTGGATTGATCGTCTCTCATACTAATGTCTCTCTCTACAGGATACTCGGTGGCTGTTGGAGAATTTACTGATGATTCTGAACAAGGTAATGCACTAACATTAGACCACAGACCTGCCTGCCTAATAATTCCTGTAATACTGCCGTCATTCAGAGTACTGTGTATAACTGCTCAACTACAAGCCTATTAAATATTAAAATATGGGTTATCGCCGGCAGTATGCCTACTATTGTGAAAAGAAGGGGAAGGAAAAAAATCAGGCATAGGGAGTAAAGAGGCATCAGTCTGCTCTTCATGTTCTTCTTAGATATACTGTATATGTAAATGGGATCAGAAATATAAACTTAGTGATGTGTGTTGAACATGTTTGTCTAGCCCAAAAATATTAGTTGGTGGTTGTGCATGGAATATCTAAAACCTCTGTCTCTCTCTCTCTCCCCCTCTCTTTCTGTATCTCATCTCTCTCTCTCCCTCTCTCCCTCTCTCTCTGTATCTCATCTCTCTCTCTCCCTCTCTCTCTGTATCTCTCTCTCTCTCTCCCCCTCTCCTCTCTATCTCCCTCCCCTCCCCCCCCCCCCCCCCTCCC